CGCTGCGCAGGGTGCGCCCGCCTTGGCAACGCCTGTGTGCTCCCTGTTTCTTAGGATGTCATCTGCCAGGAGACAGCAGCTCTCTTCTACCTCAGCGCTGCCGTGTTGGAAGCCTACCTGACCTACGACAAGCGCACGTTTAGCAACCCTTCCGAAATGCACATCTACCAGGAGAACATCGCGGCTGTGGTGAGTGCCTGGCAAGCAGGGGGAGGAAGGTGAGGAGGTGACTGCGGCGCGGCCTTGAGGGCAAATCTTTACTTGCCCCAACCGTTCAGGGCAGGGGGAGAGGAACTCCTCCTGGTCCTACCACACATGAATGTCTCCAAACAAGCAAGAGTCAACAGAAATGTGACGCATCACGAGGTGTTTGCTCAGTGCAGGAACTCATACCAGATAATAAAAAGTTAACTGGCTGATGTGTTTTTCCATTGTAGGTATTTGCATTCTTGGCTACCCTGATGTACGTGATCCATAAGGTGTGCTCGCTCCTGCGATGGAAATCATCCTAAGAGCCTTCCCTCGCACGTTTGTCTCGTGGTCATCCCGTGAACGTGGAAGTTGTTCAATGACTGCAGTTTCCAGGCTGGGTTTGGGTTTTGTTTTTTAATATATATACACACTATAAACAAGCAGCTTTTTATGTGGGACCATGGCAATGAAGACAAAGAGCCTGCCAGAGAAAGCGACAGCCAGAGAAAGCACAATCTGTTTCCCTTCAGTCTCTTCTGGGTTGGGTACAGTTTGATGCTGGTAATTGGAGCTCAAATAGAAAAACCTCCACTTTAGAAAGAATTATGTTTAATTGGGTTCAAAGTGCTAAAATCTCCCTGAACCACAGCTTTATGCCTCCAGGGTTGTTAGTGCTATCAGGGGAAGCCTGCGCAGCCAGCAGTATGGAACTGGGTCATTTTAATTGCTGCCTGTCCCCGTAAGCCTGTTTCCCTCCCTAAACCTGCTGTGCCAAAAGAACATTTTCATGCAGTTTCTGGAAATGCCATCTCTGACTTGTGCTGAGAAACGGGACACTATTTGACCTGCCTCAGGGGCGATATGAGTTACTGCAACCCCTGAAGGATATTGCTGAATTACGAGGCACAACCATACTGCCAGCAATTACCGCTGTCTCTAATCCCCCTACAAAACACAACTGCGGAGGTGCACGGGAGACTGTAGGAGAATTGTACGGATGATTAGAATAACATCTTGACTAAGCAGAGGCGAGCAACACTTGTCTTTGGTGCATGGCTGCTCTCACATACACCACCGCGATGTCGCTAATAAAGATGGGTTTGCTGTGATTTTTTTTTTGCAAATCGACGAGAGTCAGTTCTGCTGTTTTCCCTTTGCGGCACACGGCCCCGAGCCGCCTCAGGAGCTCTGCACTGTAACAGGGCACTGCCGAGGGGACCTTAACTCAGGTTAAGCTCAGTGATGATGTTCGTCTGAATGAATGCTTAAATTACTCCAGAGTGTTAACTTGAGTTTTCTTCGTAGTAGCTGGTACGGGGCTGTTTTGGAGTTGTGCTGGAGACAGTGTTGACAACATGGGGACGTTTCAGCTCCTGCTGAGCAGGGCTTACACGGAGCCAAGGCCTCTTCTGCCTCTCACCCCACCCCACCAGCGAGGAGGCTGGGGGGGCGCACAGGGAGTTGGGAGGGGACATGGCCGGGACAGCTGACCCCAGTGACCCAAGGGATATCCCATACCATATGGCATCATGCTCAGCATGTAGAGCTGGGACAAGGAGGAGGAAGGGGGGGACATTGGGAGTGATGGCGTTTGTCGTCCCAAGTCACTGTTCCGCCTGATGGAGCCCTGCTTTCCTGGAGATGGCTGAACACCTGCCTGCCCCTGGGGAGTGGGGAAGGAATTCCTTGGTTTGCTTTGCTTGCGTGGCGTTTGCTTTCCCTGTTAAACCGTCCGTATCTCAGCCTACAGGTTTTCTGACTTACCCTTCAAATTCCCTCTCCCATCCCACTGCAGGGGAGTGAGCGAGCGGCTGGGTGGGGCTGAGCTGCCAGCTGGGGCTAACCGACAACAGTGAGTTAATTTAGACCTAGGAAGGGGTGTTTCCATGTATTAGAGGTGCCTAATAAACAGTGGCACCAAATTAGCCCTTCCAGCTTCTGGAGCAAAAAGTGCTTCCATTCTGAGCCTGAAGTTCCTGGATATTAACAAGGACTGGAGAGTGGAAGGGAAATAAAAGTTGACTTGGAGGCACCTCTGTTGCTTCAGATCCAGGAGGGGGGAACGGGACACGGACTTCTGAGCTGCAACCATGGGTTTAGGTTGAAGCTTTTTAATTGCATTGTGAAGAACACATTTGTTGGTTCTTTTTTTTCTTGTTTTTTCCCTTGCTGAAAACCAGCCTGACCTGTTTTGCTTGTGTTAGTGTGACAACAGCCAGCTGATTATAACAGAGGTGGAAAAAGAAACCCCTTTTCCCAGCAGGGAGGGAACTCACAGCCACTTTGGACAATGGCACTTGGTTCTGAAGTCTAACACGCACCTGATGAATCTGGTTTCAACATGACATCATCAAGGGGGGTGTGGGGTTGGTGCCCAGATTTGCTCTGCTTCTATTAACGCCCCTGAATCTAGCATTAAAACACAAAGATGCCTTTCTGTTTGGGCCTATTTACAAAGGCAGACATTTGCGGTCACACCCCAGGCTGTGATCTCTCTGTCCACCTTCTGCACCCAGGTGGGGCCAGCCCTGTCTGTGCCCTCACGTCCCTGTCCCTGTGCCTTGTGGCCATCACATTTGCAGCCTATGTCTTGGCAGGGCTCCCATCTCTCCTCCCCACTTCTTTCTGCCTTGCTTTGCCCTTTGCTTCCCCTTTCGCTACCTCACACCAGTTTACACCAGTCTGCACTAGTTCACCTGCTCGTCCTGTTCCTTCTGGCCCCACCTGGTTTGCTGAGATACCTCCCCCCCAGCATCAGCCTAACCTTGCTGTAAACCAGCACTGGAAAAAAACCCAGCCGGGCGCTGCCGCC